TAACATATGAATATTACCAAAGATCTTTGTGGTCTGATTGGACCTGATTGGGTTCTCGTTGTTGATGTTACATTTGTGCCCATTTCCAAGGTGACGGCACGGGTGGAGGTCGAGGATGTCATTGCAGCGATTTGTCCCACCACCTGCTTGGTGTCGATCATGCTGGCCAATAATGAGACAGGCATTATTATGGTGAGAATGTTACCTTGATTACAGTCTCAATAATGTATTGAACTATTTCATAGTTAAACAATCACACGACTGTGTTTTGGCCATTGGGACGAGGCTTAATTGTGAGCATGATATTGCTTGTATACATAATTTTATAAACATGATGTTAATAAAGATCAACTTATATTATAGACACAGTATGGCTAGTTAATTTTTGCTCTGCCAATAAAAATACAGTAGTTTTTTTGGCCATGATTTAGCATAAACACTGAAAGTAACCACTGGGATTGTCCTTTCAACAGCCAATTAAGGATATTTGTCAGAGGGTGAGGGAAGTAAACAAACAGAGGGCAGCATCAGCTCCCAGAATCCTCCTGCACACCGATGCAGCACAGGCTATTGGAAAGATATGAGTGGATGCACATGAGCTGGGAGTAGACTATATTACCATTGTAGGTAAGTAACAAGAGACACTTTTGATATATCATCTCTCTCTAAGCGAAGAAAATTAGAGATGGCAATCCTGTCGATGGTATGTTTCAGTTTTATGGCCCTCGAATTGGCGCTTTGTTTGTGAATGATCCTGGAACCACAACTCCGGTTTATCCTCTGTTTTTTGGAGGAGGACAAGAGCGCAATTTCAGACCAGGGTATGACATGGTTTATTGTATGGTGGGGTTTTGTATGGATGATGAATTATTGAACAGAATTAAAACAAGCATGTTACTGATTCTAAAATCAATACTGTTGTTATCTCTTTATTTCTCAGAACTGAGAACACAGCAATGATAGCCGGTCTGGGAAAGGTAAAACGCACTATGTATTATAATCATTTATTTATTACTTAATTTCTTAATTAATGGATTAAATAATTTAATGTTTGTGCATTTAACATGGGTAACATTATTTGTGACCCTGGACCACAAAACCAGTCATAAGGGTAAATTTTTCGAAATAGAGATTCATACATAATCTGAAAGCTGAATAAATAAGCTTTCCATTGATGTATGGTTTGTTAGGATATGACAATATTTGTCTGAGATACAACTATTTGAATATCTGGAATCTGAGGGTGCAAAAAAATCGAACTATTGAGAAAATCGCCTTTAAAGGCACTATATGTACGATTTTTTTATTAAAATATCCAAAAACCACTAGAACAGTGTTATATATTTTGCTGACTTGTGTACTTACATTATCCCAAATGTTCTCTAGCGGTGAAAATGACATATTGTGCCTTTAAAGTTGTCCAAATGAAGTTCTTAGCAATGCATATTACTAATCAAAAATTACGTTTTAATATATTTACAGTAGGAAATTTACGAAATATCTTCACGGAACATGATCTTTACTTACTTTTGGCATAAAAGAAAAATCTATAATTTTGACCCATACAAAGTATTTTTGGCTATTGCTACAAATATACCCCAGCGACTTAAAGGGGTCATATGATGCTGCTAAAAAGAACATTATTTTGTGTATTTGGTGTAATGAAATGTGTTTATGCGGTTTAAAGTAAAAAAAAAAACATTATTTTCCACATACTGTACATTATTGTTTCTCCTCTATGCCCCGCCTTTTTGAAACGCGTAGATTTTTACAAAGCTCATCGGTCTGAAAAAGCGAGGTGTGCTGTGATGAATGAAATGAACAAGCCAAAAGAATGGCTTAAACAACGCCGTAGTCCGCTTGCACGTATAGCGTGACAAATAATTAACTGCACTTGAAGCTTTCAGTAAATTAAAAATGAAACACCCAAAACTGTATATGGCATCATAACGAAGACTAACTATATGTTTATACATGAAATTCTGGAGGGGACGTCGGATGGCGTTGCGTGGTAATGTAATGACGTGTGCCACTATGTACTATAACATGTAAAACGGGAACATGAAAGGAATATTCTAAAAGCAACTCGTGTGAACACCTTAATCGTAATATTGTCTTATTCAGAATAAGGTAAATAATTAGATTACTGATGTCCATGTAAACGTAGTCACTGAAAAAGTTTGAAGTCAATATAATTTCTTTTTTTGTATAAGGACAAGTGTGAATTTTCACCAGTGTAGTATCAAATCCTTAACATTTTCAAGTGTCTAAATAAGTAGAGCACTCAAAAACAAATGTAGCGAACACATCCATCCTGTACGCTGACTGTATAGGCTTGTGCACAAGTGTACTGCACAAGTACACAAGTGTACTGTACTGTCTAGAGTACAGTACATTTAGCGCCTGCTAAATGATTAAATGTAAATGTACTGTGCTCTAGACGGATCAGTACGTGGAAAATCCTTAATGTTTTTTGCGGCAATTTGGTCATGTGCTCTCATTTCCTTAGACCTTCCCATATTCTTCTAAGCTGTGGGATTCCATATCATGTGGCTACCAACGCTTTGAGGATCAGTGTGGGTAGATGTACCTCCCGTGAAGATGTGGACATTGTCGTGGAGGATCTGAGAGACACTGTAGAGCAACTGGAGCGGATGAACTAACACCATGGATATTTTACCTGACTATATATGGATATTGAACTCCAACCAAAAAGGACAAGTTTTATTGAATGTTAAAAATGAAACACCCAAAACTGTATATGGCATCATAACGAAGACTAACTATATGTTTATACATGAAATTCTGGAGGGGACGTCGGATGGCGTTGCGTGGTAATGTAATGACGTGTGCCACTATGTACTATAACATGTAAAACGGGAACATGAAAGGAATATTCTAAAAGCAACTCGTGTGAACACCTTAATCGTAATATTGTCTTATTCAGAATAAGGTAAATAATTAGATTACTGATGTCCATGTAAACGTAGTCACTGAAAAAGTTTGAAGTCAATATAATTTCTTTTTTTGTATAAGGACAAGTGTGAATTTTCACCAGTGTAGTATCAAATCCTTAACATTTTCAAGTGTCTAAATAAGTAGAGCACTCAAAAACAAATGTAGCGAACACATCCATCCTGTACGCTGACTATATAGGCTTGTGCACAAGTGTACTGCACAAGTACACAAGTGTACTGTACTGTCTAGAGTACAGTACATTTAGCGCCTGCTAAATGATTAAATGTAAATGTACTGTGCTCTAGACGGATCAGTACGTGGAAAATCCTTAATGTTTTTTGCGGCAATTTGGTCATGTGCTCTCATTTCCTTAGACCTTCCCATATTCTTCTAAGCTGTGGGATTCCATATCATGTGGCTACCAACGCTTTGAGGATCAGTGTGGGTAGATGTACCTCCCGTGAAGATGTGGACATTGTCGTGGAGGATCTGAGAGACACTGTAGAGCAACTGGAGCGGATGAACTAACACCATGGATATTTTACCTGACTATATATGGATATTGAACTCCAACCAAAAAGGACAAGTTTTATTGAATGGTTTTAGTTTACAGCTATGTGGCTTTGCACATAAATTAGATGATGTGTCATGAGTATACTGTAGAGTTCAGGTTTCAGGGTCATCGTCAGGTTGCACTATATTGATCTACGAGCTCTTTATTTAGTAGAATATAATATTTAATATAAATCTTATTTGCTTTGCAAATAGATTAGATGGTGTGTCATGAGACTAGAGTTCAGGATTCAGGGACATTGACAGGCTGCACTATATTGATCTAAGAGCTTGTTTAGCAGAACATAATGTTTAACGTAAATATTACTTGGTAAAGCATATTTCATATATGGAACTTCAGGGAATTTAGCTGATAAATAGTAAAAAAAATACTTTAAGCAGCTTGCAAATGGAGGTGTGCGATGTGTAAAGTCCATAAAAATATCATAATTGCAAACTGACTTTATAGAGTATGTCACTTACTTTGCAAAAAGTAATTGAATCGTTTATTTCTGTCACTGGGAAACTAACCAACCACTGCACAAAATATTAGGAAAATGAAAATCAGCCCTCCATAACAGAAAAAAATGCACTGTTACCAGTAAAATGACATTAAATATGAAGATATAATTTTTTTGTATGTATTGCACACCCCTACTTGCATATGACTGTTGACTTTGGTAATTTTGGGTCAGAGTTCTTTTTAACAGGGATTTTTAGTTATTTGGTTTTGATATTTAGACGTTTGCCCCTCCTGATTTTTAAAAAATGGTTTCATAATTGAATAATGTGAATTGTTCTAATTATGTTGTAGATGTTCATACCCTATTTTTCAGGGAAGCAACAGAGACCTGTTCATTTTAACTTGCTGGCTGCACTTAGTTACATTGGGGTGTGATGGAGCGTGCACGTTGAGAATGAGACAGAGATATGTTACCAGTACAACAAAGCTGCACCAGAATTATTAAATGAGCTAAATGGACTCTCTTTAATATCTCAGTCCTGATCTGATCTGACCAAACTGCTCCATTCTAATCCCTTGTTCTCCTTCCAGACACACTCTTGGCCATTCAGACAGAAATGAATATTTAACATGTGAAAATGAGGCTCACTGTAATCTCTAATCACATGCCACATGCATGCACACCAGTTTTAGTAGGTCTTCAGAGGCCAGTTCTCTCATTACTCGGGTGTCTGCTGCCAGAGACGAGGGCAACCATGTGCAGGTTGGTAAACGAGCACAAAGGCAACGGCTGGGCCACGATGAGCACTGGTGCATTGTGACGTCTTTCATTACCTTTACAGCTCACCGGGCCAGACCTGCTCCTCTCCTCCGCTCACCTAACCCCGCCAGCTGGCAGACTGTTAGGTGTCGGCTTCCCCTGTGTGTGTCTGTGCATGTGTGCCTTGGGGGGTAGGTTGAATTTCTCGAGACAGTGTCCGGATCCAGTCAAAGGAAGCTTGCGCAGGTGCAGAGAGGCAGGGTTGACATGGTGCTCCAAAAGGCCATTGCCGCAGCCCGCGAGGGAGACCTGCAGAGCCTCAGGGACCTCGCCGAATCTGGATGTCTTACCGGCACCATTGTGGATGCTCAGGGGGCGGGACTGGTGCACCATGCTGCACGCTGTGGTCAGCTGGACTGCCTTTGCTTTCTGGTGACAGAAGCAGGGCTCGATGCTAACGCAAGGGCCCTCAATGGAGCCACACCTGTCCATGATGCTGCAGCTACAGGTCACACCCGGGAACTAAAGTGGCTTGTACAGGTTGCAAGATGTAATGCACAGGTGAGTGGAGAGGTTATGGAGCTATGGGTGTTAGCACAGTGGTGTGGACAGAGTTTGGATCAAGAGTTGCTTTTCAAATGGGTGATTTACTTTCTTTCAAAGACCACAAAAGATGTTAGGAAAGATGTTCATGCTGTGCCATGCAATTAAAGTGGATGGTGACCAAGCACTATCAAGCTCCAAAAATGACCAAAACCACCATAAAAGTAGTCCAAGTATGACTTATGTTCAGCTACCCAAGTTTTCTGAAGCCAATTGATCATTCTGTGTGAGAAAGAGACGATTAAAATGACCAGAGCGCCTGTTTTTACTTGAGTGCAAATCTGTCTGTCTGCTTGTCTTGTTGGCAAAGGCTGTTTGCGCTAACTATGCTCACCACTGTCTGGTTGAGCAAGAGAAAGTTATGAAAGTAACCAAGCTTAGATAAACCACAAAAGAAGAAACCAACCCAAGGTAGCTAGGACAATAGCGTGGAGAGTAGGGATTTTGGATTTAGCATTTGACGCAACTGACCCATATTAAAATCTGTAGTTTTCCGATCCCACTCTTCTTTTGCCTTTTATCTTAAAATTTTTTTAATAAATAATAAAATAAATTAAATGTTGAAAAGAAGTGCCTAATGGGTATCTAATAGTAGGAAAATGTCCCTATAAAGTCTCATTTATGATTTTAATAATATGCAATTATAAGACTATAATAAGTCTATTATAAGACTATATATCTGCAATACACTGAGGTGCAAATATTAATAAAAATAATGAGGTCTGCCACTATTCCCATTATGTATATAGTGCTTTGCAAAAGTATTCATTTTTTGATTGTTTTTCTTTTTTTTTTAACTACACACATTTGGTTATGTTGCAGCCTTATTTTAAGCTGCTGAAATTACCTTTTTGCCACATCATTCTACACTTAATACACCATAATGACAAAGCAAAAAACAGATCTGTGATTTCTTTGCAAATTTATTAGAAAGGAAAAGCTGAAATATTTACATTGCGTAAGTATTCAGTACTTGAAATCAGTACTTAGTTGAAGCACCTTTGGCAAAGGTTATAGCCTCAGGCCTTGTGGGCAAGATCGATGCAACAAGCTTCTTGCACATGCATTTGGGGATTGTCTGCCATTCTTCTCTGCAGATTCTCAAGCTCTGTCAGGTTAGATGGGGACCGTCAGTGGACAGTCATTTTTAGGGTTATCCAGAGATGTTCTATTGGGTTAAAGTCTGAGCTCCGGCTGAGCCTCTCAAGGGCATTTACAGAAGTGTTTATAAGCCACTCTTGTATTTTCTAGTTTGTGCTTATGATCACTGTCCTGTTGGATGGTGAACCTTCTTCCCAGTCTGAGTGCTCTAAACCAGGTTTTCATTAAGGATATCACTGTATTTTGCTGCGTTGAACTTTCTTTCTACCCTGACAAGTCCCCAAGTTTCTGTTGCTGAAAAACACCCCCACAACATGAAAGCTGCTGCCACCACAATGCTTCACTGTTGGAATGGTATTGTGCAGGTAATGAGCAGTACCTGTTTTCCTGCAGGCACTTGGAATTGAGGTTCACCAGACTGGAGAATCTTGTTTCTCACATTCTGAGAGTCCTTTAGGTCCTTTTTTGCAACCCCAAAAGTGGGGTTGTCTTCACTGAGGAGAGGATTGAGTCTGGCCATACCACCATAATTCCCAGATCATTGGAGTGTTGCAGTGATGTTTGTCCTTCTGTAAGTTTCTCCCATCTCCATATATGATCATGGAGTTCAACCAGAGTGACCATCTGCTTCTTTGTCACCAGTCTAACCAAGGCCCTTCTCCTCCGACGTCTCAGTTTGGCAGGAGGCCAGCTCTATTAAGAGTCCTCGTTGGTCCAGACTTGTTCCGTTAAGGATTATGGAGGCCATGTTCCTGTGTACCTTCAGTGCAGCTAAAATGGTTTTGTAGTCTTCTCCAGATCTGTCTCAACACAGTTCTGTCTGCCAATCCTTTGACCTCATAACTTGTTTTTTTGCTCTGATATGGATTTTCAGTTGTTATACCTTATATAGACAGGTGTGTGATTTCCCAAATGATGTCAAATCAATGGACTTTGCCACAGGTTAACTCCAATCAAAGTGTAGACACATCTCAAAGTTGATCCAGCAAAACTGGAAGGCTTCTGTGCGAAATTTCAAGTGTCACCAAAAGGGTATGAATAATTATGCAATGTCATTTATGTATTAAGTGGTTATCATATATATATATATATATATATATATATATATATATATATAATTTTGTTTATTTTTTGTCATGTAATTATTTATGGTGTAC